GAGTTTCAACGTATAAGATTCCCCTAGATCTCAAATCCTACTCGTGGACAGACTATACCCATTGTTACTTATACCATTTGTCTGACTCGTTCTGGTACTTACTACTGGCTGACTCATATCAGTCTTCTATCACGGCCAGTACTATTGACTCTTGGAATAGCATCGCCGGCTGACCTATAGCCTACCACTACCACTGAAGCACGAGCCACTCTTGTTAAAGAGGAAAGCTACCCCCTATTGCATTGCTAACTAATCTAAACTCCAGAAAAAAAATCGTCGGTCCAACATTAAAAAAGTAAATTTATTCAAATTGAACTAATCATTTTTTTTTCTAAAATTTTATACGACAAAAGAAAGTTTCCGAATGAAATTTTCAATCGAACGAACGAAACCAATAAAGCTCTACGTACAGTTCACAAAAGTTTTATAAAGCTTTTGAAGCTTTGTACGTACAAAAAAATTACTTGGTACAATACAAAAACAAAAGCATTCAGAAAAAGCTCGACAAAAGCTCATCGATCATGTTCAGTACGGGAATTATAACAAGAGTATGGCATTGACCTGGGAAAACTGGATAAATAAATGATATATAACATCAACCGTTCTGATCTGATTATCAGAAAAGTCTCTTCCTGCCGAACTTGGTCGTGTCTGCCGACCATATTTTTTTTCAATTCTCCACGTGCTTCCGTCGTCGATTACGTGCCATTTTATGTGATCGCACGTGACTGTGTTCACGTCCATACGATTGTCAGCTGTACGATAAGCCGAGCGAAACGAATGCTATGACATTTTGGATTTCTAGGACGTTACCGCACGCAATCTGATAAAGTCCCATCGTGTTCTGCCAGGAAATGAAACATTCATAGCGCGGCGATTATTGTTTCAGAACATAATACGTCATACGTGGTCGCTCGTTTCGCGTTCCCCGCACGATATACGCAAAGGCCCGGCCCAATAAAATTATTCGAATAAATACATTTTTTTGATATAACCATAATTCGTCGAGTAAAATTTTGGTAGTGCGACAGGCAATGAAATTTTTCGAAATTTTTTTTTCAAAAGAAAGGTGCCCACCCTTTCCTGCTTTAATCATAGGTACATATACATATATATATATATACACTTTGAGGTATGGTCTATTACGTCATTCGCTCATTAAAAATGGCCGAGTTATACGTTTCCATGAACCACCTCACTCCTCATCCGATACTTCATCAAGCTAAGACCTCGTCCCCCAGACTAGGTCCCATTAAGTTTGCTGATTTAGTTGGCTGCGAGGAGCCGCTGGTGGGTTTGGGGTCGTTGGGGGGCAGCAGGGGTTCTTTCGGGGTAAATATGCATAAGACGCCTGTGGCTACCGGTGGGGTACGGGAAGGTGAAAGGGTGGGGGCGGGGGAGGTTGAAGGAAAGCGCATGTCGAGGGTGGCGCCCGGGGTGGCGAAAGGGCTGCAAAATAAAATACTTGCCTGGGCTCTGATGACGTGGGTCAGTATAACCTGGTCACGAGATTAAACATATGTTTAGTATATATATATATATATATGTATATACGTAGTAACTTAATCAGGATGCACCACGTTACACGCAACACATTCAGGGGTGGTTTTAAATATATTTTAATTTCTTTTTACCTGCTTCCACGAGCTGAAGAGATTATCCGACGCTAAACAATGGTGGCTTTGTCTTTGTTGGGTCCGTCGGGCATTTCCCTCGTAGTAACCAGTCAGCTCAAAGAATCTTGTATTACCATACTAGGCACCGCAACACTCATTTATCTTGTTTAAGTTTTTATGCTTTTTTTGTCATTGTTTTTGTTAGAACCCCCCGGACTGAAGTGATCCGATCGACGTACGTGTATACATATATTTTTCGTATATTTTTTCTCACCCTAATGCCCATACGTGAACTCAATCGACTCTTATTTTTCTTCACTTTAACCCTTTCCTTTTTTTTATCCTTCTAGTAGATACCCTTTTTCGTGACTTACCGACATATTTCCCTTCGGCTGCTTTGAGAACCTGTACTGTCCAATTGTTCTGTCTCTCTCTTGGTTTCTTATTTTCTTTTTTCCAGCATTTTTTTATAGCCACTTTTAGATAGATGCGCCATTCTCTCTTTTTCTCTCTATCGACTCTCTCTTTCACGTTTTCTTTGCTTGGTATTATTTTATTCTTCTTTATTGCCTGCCAGACTCCTCGAATCCATATTCCACGTGTTTCTTTTTTCTTTTTTAGTTGTCTATTTATATTCACGAGAAACTCTGCCTACTCTTTATCTTGATGTGAGAATCTGATCTGTCTGACTTTTCCTCCCATTTTTCTTTAACTCTCTTGTTTTCACCCTTTTATTATTATTATTATCACATATATATATATATATATGTATTTTACGTACTGCTGTCCCTTGGAGGCTCTCACGTACCTATCCTGTGTAGGGTAGATTATGCCGGCCTGACACGTATTCTCTCCTGTCAACTCCCCTTCTCTGCCTCTTTTTTTTTATTATTAAAATTCCCACACAGAAGAACCTGTCTCTCTATTTCATTTTTCTACGGTTTTCTTCTTTCTCCTTTACTTTTGTACCACGTTAACCCCTATTCTCGATATAATTCCACCAAAGATTATATGTGCGAGACTTGACTCTTTTTTGTACTTTATTTTGCATTAAATTTACAAATGGACCATTGCGTTATTCTTTGGAATCATTTTTTTAGCAAGGTCGTGCTGATAATTAATGTGAAAATTGAGAAACTGTAGAAAAAAATATCAGCGGATATGTACTGTTAAAATTTCTATCGTGTGCGTGCTACTTTTGAAGCTGCTGCAACGTATAAAAATCATCGGGGTGCAAAGGAAAATGATCCCAATGACAATTATTAATGGCCTGCATATCTATGTAACGTGCAGGCAAACGGTTTTACCTAACGACATTTGTGAACGACACGTAATGAAATTTACGTGTCCATCAATTTTTTTTTCTTCCGTAAAATTAAACTCGTTTTTTTCTCCCTTCCGAATGAACGAAGCGAGAGCTTCGTGTTTACGCTTATGCATGATGTAGTAATGGACCGAGTTCTTTACTTACGATAAACTGCATACCGAGACATATAGATATACCGTGGAGATATAACGTGGCTCCCACATTATTTACCAACGTTTCGATAATGTACCTTTTTATGGATAAGTATATGTATACATTGACTAGATTGTTTTTCCAGAAACGATCCCTTTCGAGTGTTGGTTACTTTGTGACCCAATTTTCTATCCTTTATTGCGATTGGAAGCTTTTAAGCGAGCTTTCGTGTGTGCGATGATATTCAATAGATTTTTTTGGGAGACATTGAAGGATTGATGGAATTTAGGTACAACGGAGACTCGGAGGCTGATATTTTTCTGGAAATATTGAAATTTTTATAATTATAACGTGCGCGCGTGAATATATATTTTTTTACGTATTTATCAAAAATTCTTACGATTAGTTATGGCGTAATTTTGAAAATTTATCACTTCAAAATGTTCGGGGTAAACCAGTAAGCGAATATGGAAAGATTTTTTTGTTTTCTAACCTACGTTAAAAATGTTTTTGAGTTCGGAGTAAAATTTACGTAGGACCTTCTGGTGTCAAATAGAATTTTCTCAGGAATTCGAGGGTGATGGAAGTGTAGGTGTTTTTCATTCTTTTTTTTAAGGATTCAAATTCCTAGAAATTTTGGATCACGGAATTTTTATTAGCCTGATAAGCAGGCTTTAGTCGGACGAGGGTTGTTCCAAAATATGCGGCGTATTTGTGGCCCATAGTTTAATCAGCTCGAGGGGGATGGTTGGGTAATGAGGAGTGTTCGAGGTTTTCCAAATGAACCTTATTTAAAGGGGTGTGCGCGCGGGAAATACTGAGTCCGTGTTAAATCTGAAAATATGACCACATTTGTCCATATGTATTACCTATAACCCTTTTCACTGTTTTTCTTTCTTTTGCATCAAAAAATTGTTTATGTAAATTACAAATGATTTTTTTCAAATATGCATATTGTACTTGCGTCATCACTTCGTGGTTTAGCATAACAGGATTTGTTTTCGGATTAGATCCAATTTCTGGGTACGATCCAGACCCAAATTAGGTTACAATTTATTCTCGTTCTTTCCACTTGAATATTTTATCTCTTAGGGATGCTGTAATCGCGGCTGATATCCTATAAGAATTTTTTGTTTGGTTTGCTTAACCCTCCCTTAAATCAGGGGTAGGACTTGCGTGTATAACTAGGAACGTCTGCTCAATCTTTGCTCAAATGGTTCGATCTCGGGAATCCGATCCTTCATTTTAATCTGTCTGTCAAATCCGTACCATATTTTTTCTCTTGAACCTTGGATTTGGGCATCTGGTTACTAAGATTGTTCCATAACTCTTGTCAGTCCTAGGCGATAATGTAAAAAAATTAGTGGTGCGAAGATCTTACACGAGGTTCGGGTCTTCTCTTGTGCTCGAAAGATCAAGAGAGCATTCACTTTTTTTTACTTTACGTAGGTTTTAGATTTCTGTGGTATCTTTGAAACTGTCTCTGACCGTTGAAAAATGAAGCTTGTCACGACGTCGTATTAATAATTTTATTCTATTCAAACTGAATGAAAGGTTTTATTAAAGGAAATAAAAGAATTATTTCGGTATCTCTAAGTAAGGATCACCCAAAGTACCTATTTCCATTGTTAATTTCCGAATGCCAGGGATTTCAATTTTCAAGTGATTTTAACTTTGAAGCATTTCGATATATGTATACCAGGTGGTATCTCCATAGAACAGTAAAATCCCTGAATTTTACATCAGAATTTTCAGAGTTTCATCATTATATGCTAATTCACGAAAATATCGAAAATACGGAATGTATAAGAGATTCAGAAAATTTCTGTCCTTTAAGTTATGTATGTACATACGTATCTGCTACGCACTCGTAACGACGTCATATTTTACATTGTAAGCAGTCCCTTTATTTTTTACTGTTTCAGAAATCGTCGAGGGTGTCAAACGTGGCGGCGGATCTCCATTGCGACCGTTGATCGACGAGGCATACGTGGAGGAGGAGGTAAATGGATTTTCATAAATTACTAAGTCATCTCCAAGTCGAATCAAGTGTTTAAAAGTATAGCGCGATAAGTGGGCGATTGTCAGCGAGAAAAATTCAGATATTTTGAAATTCCCTTCGTCACTTTAGGCCCCCTACAATCCTAATGGATTTCCCTATTTAATATGGGGCACAGGGAATCTCCGGTATTCTTTTCCAAGTAAAGTGGAATCTCGCACACAGCTTATATTCTCCTGCCTGACGTATTAAATAAGCTACGAGAGACTCTACTGAGACTCTATATTTAGGAATTTACAAAATTCTCTGGGATAACTGACAGATCTATCCAAATACGTAAAAGTACCTCGAATACGCGACAGATGGCCCTAGAAGTAGTTTCGATAGTTCGCCGCAACATGGCGCAGTAGCGCTACTGTACGCTACGTCTGATGAGCAGTGAAATATACATGTTACTAGAAGGCGTACATACCGTCATAAGAATATGCTGCTCCGTTGCGTGCCAGGTATTTTCGATCTATCTTTGCCCTTTGGAGGATTATCTGCCTTTTCTCTGTGGCGAAATGCGCATTTTAAGTACAGACTGAGCTAAAAGTTACTATTTACGATCTTACTGCATTGCTGTCATCACAACTGAACTTGTGCACTCTCGATATTAATTTTTGACAGTGACTTTACGATGTGCGAGACCGATAGATAGACAGAGACGAACCCCAACGTCTCCCGTCACGAGTCGTACGAGTTCCAGGATACATTTCAGTGTTCAAGACCGATGCTTTCGCTAAAAATATTTAGTCCCTGGTATGGGCAACTCGTGACGTGCAATTTACGAAGAAAGTTCTACGGGCTCGTTGCCAACGCAAATACAAATAATGCAGAAGGCTCGCGGCATCCGCGTTACTACGGAAAGAGCTCCCAAAGCTGCGATCTGAACGCGTCCTCAACTTTTACGTGTAAGTCTGCCTGTTGACTGGGCAGCCCAACGGGACGGAACTCGGTCAATTAAAAGTTTTCGCTCGAGCCAGCGACTCTTCACTCTCTGGCCTCTTTATTCGTAAGCTGTTTATTTTTTCTCTCTCTCTCTTCCTCCCTTTAAGCCATTACTTTTCTTGCTGTCACAATCGCTCGCTGTCTATACAATAACTGTACTAGTTTCTGTCACTCGTCGACGTTTCTTCCTCGAACGTCCCTTGATTAGCAATATTAATTTTCTATTTCTCGTGCTTTTCAGGTCGCCACCCTGATGAAACGATGCTGGGCACAGGACGCTGCCGACAGGCCCGATTTCCCAGCTCTCAAGCAGACCATCCGAAAAATCAACAAGTGAGTTTTCTTATCTCCATTTTATTATTTGACAGACGAAAAAAAATGACAATGCGCTGTACGATTTGTTGCCGTTGCGAATCGTCATGTTTTTTTTTTTTTATTATATTTACAGAAGTTCTGTTCATAAATTTATATTGCTCTCCGGATTGATTTGCTTATCCAAATATTATTGGGTAATACGTATCGTCAAGTTTAACGCCAACAGCCAATACATTTTTATATCAGATAAATATAGGCGACCGTGCTTGTGGATTCGTTAAAATTTCACGTTTCCTCTGCCGAAAAAGCAAAAACGTGCGTCCGTATTAAAAAAAAAAAATTAATTCAAAGATAAGGATTCGTTATGACGACTGCCGTGGGAATGCGTTGTCCTTCTCGGCAGTAGGCAGTTCGAGGAGCTCTTGTAAGTTTTGTGATTTCGTGCCACCGAAAGCCAGAGGGTATAACTGCGTGCTTTCATGAAGCGAGTAAGTAAAGAAAGCGAGGAAGCTGCGAGCTTTCGTGCGTGAGTTATCTTCTCTCAGGCGGTATGACAGAACAAGAAAAAAGGCTCGGGATAAAAAGTTTTATTTTTATCTTCTCTCTTTTTTCGGTAGCCATTTCTCTTCCCGCCTCTCTCGCACTTCTATTGGTCATGAAAGCTACCTTTTTTTTTATTTTTCTCCTTCCCCCTCTACCGTCTTTTTTCTTCAACACTTTTTCGATTTTCTCTCGCCATCGACCCACCAAGGACGTCAACAACAATGGTATACGAATGCTTGTAAACGCACCCTTTGTCAAAGGAAATACCAATCCATACCTGTACATGTGACGCTCGTAAGGATTTACGCGAAAGCTCCTAAAAGAAGCTTTATAGCTTTCGTGGAGATATTTTTTTTATTGGTACTATTTATGCACGGCGATAATTGACGTTTCTTTGTTGCAGGAACATTATCTTGATTTATAGCAATGATAAGGCTATCGTGTCCTTTAATGTCAGTTTCGAAGCACTTGTCTGCCGAGTTTCACGATATGACTGAACTTCCGTTGGAGAAAGTTTTTTCAAGGTTAAATTTAATCGATATGATAAGGAATGATTTGTATTTATTTTTTTATTTTTTTTTTCTTTCACTAGTAACCAATCAATTCGATTCCAGCATCTTCGGCGCGTTCGTAGGACGCAACCTTGCGCACAGCTATAGCAAATCAGAAAGGTGTTAAACGCATAGAGAAACCCGAAGTAAAAGACACCCCGGGACTGGCAAAGCCGAAATTAAATTCAAAGCTCTGAGAAGAAGAAAGCTCTTTCCACTGGCTTGGTTCACTATAATGTGGTAGTAAGTGAATTTCAGTTGCAAGTCAAATTCGGCCATTCGAAGGAGATAAATGATGGCGAGGAAATGGAAAAAGAAAAAGAGAAGAAATACAAATAAGGACAAACGTCCGGATACGGGTGGTCACGGCGAGGGTGGAAAAGAGAAAGAAAAGCTGTGGATGGGTTGGAGTTGAATGGGAAAATAATGATGGAACATCGAATTGGAACTTTGGAAACTCTCTTACTGTAGTTTATTCAGTCGTTTGATTTCTTTTTTTAAACCAATATTTTCATAAAATTTTCAATGAATGGCAGCTTTTTGAACGCTCGCCTGTAGAAGTGCTTCAGAGTCATACTTGGAGGCAATCTTTATTTTTTCGGGTTATCGATGAAATATATATATTACTTTTGATTTATGTATTTCATAATTTATAAATAACTCGGCCGAAGCATATCTAGAATCTGGTCTCGTGATTCTTAAAATTTATATTTAGCTTTTTTTTTTATTTTTTTTTTGTATATGCGTCAGTCTTAGTCTTTGAATATGAATTTCTTCGTCGGTTGACATTAAATTTTCAGAATAATTTCAATAGACGGATAAAGAAATGAGCTGAATATTTGAAAAGAAAATAATCCAAACGAATTATTATTCATAACTTGTAAAATCCTTGGGAATACCAGCTGCGAGGATGAATACATTCTGTGCCAGAAGTTTGATCGATCCCCAATACCCACAATTATCCGAAGTAGGAGATATAATTGGCCAAGTTTTACCAAGCGAATCTGCCATTTCGTCCTAGCTCCTTCTATACGTATTCACTTAGACATTGAATTCAATGCATGCACTCACAGAGTATAGATTTTTCCAGTCACGTAGCTCGAAGCAATATATTGTGCTAGAGAAATTTAAATGGGCTTGATATATTACGATTAAACGAGACAAAGAGAAGTACGTAATAATAAATGAAGATAATAATTCTTCTGGTGGACTTGAACCTTCTTTGAGTAGCTGATAAGAAATATAATTCGCATTAAATCGTAGCGTTGCAGCACGTGCGTATTAAAGTTGTTTATTCCGCTGTCATTTTTGACAGCTGTCAGATATTGGATCGCGCGATTTCAACGATCATACACAATTTGAATCTTCCAATTTATCCTTGAAAAATCACATGTTAAATGACCCAAGTTTTAGTTTGGATAAGTAAACTTTCATAAAAACTTATCCTCACCTTACTAACTTGACTGTAGCTTTGGTAAAGTTTTACTTGATAAATTGTATCTTGCCAGAAATGTGTTAGGTAACACATTTGAAGCGTTTGAACTTCTTATCAGTTTCTCTCAGTCTGCTCTTTTACCATGCATCTTGAAGTGAGCTGTAAAATGTGAAATAATCATTTTGAGTAACTTGAATGATTTTGAGAAAATTATTTTATCCTTTTTTACTCTCCTGTAACGTGCGTTTACCCAGGGAGTTCCCTGCGAGTTAAATTGTAATTAGTATAAGGAATTGACGAGCGGTGTCACTGGTTAAATTTCCCCCTCCCCTCTATTAGTCGTATCTGGCAATTTGATGGTTGCTGGAGTTTCTCTTGACTGGAGTCTCTTCACTTAGGGAGTCGATCGTGGAAAGTATAATATCGTGCACGACAATAAGTATTGGCCATTAGATAAAATCTGAAGCAAAATAAATATTTTTGGGAAATGATCTACTATAAAAAAGGATCCACTCCTAATTGAAATTATATCGCAAGATAAAAAGGATCTATTCATAATTGGAAATATATTGCAACATGTGGATCCTATAATCATACTGGAATCAATCGAACAAATTAAAGAATACTGAGACGACTAAGACAAGGGAGATACATCATCCAACCGCTGAAATCTCCAAGACGTATTTATTACATAATTATATTTATTCATATTTTTATTATTAGTCTCTTATAACATGTTCCATTTCGATTATAAAGTGTCTTGCCGCCCTAAGTGTGTAATAAGATAGGAGTATATCTATTTTATCAAATGGCAGATTCATAAAAGAAAACTATAATTAAATAATTAATATTGTGAATATGGATGTTTTAGTGTGAATGCATGTGTGTATGTGAGGAACCGGTCTATTGAGGCATGTGCTATTAAAGACTATAGTTATAATTTATCTTGCAAATTCCGATTGTTCATTTATTTTATTATTTTATATATATGCCAAAATTAGTAAATTGTTAACCATCGCAAATAAATGTCTTATAAGCAACTAAAAATATATTACACTCCATTAATAGATACAGCTTCAGGGAGTCCAAGTACTCTTATCGTTTCTATTTTCATTATTTTTTTTTCTGTCAAGTCTATCGAATCTTTCTCAAACTGGTTTTCTAACAAGTTTCCTTTTTTGTAAAACCTTTCTATTCAATATTGATTTTCCAGTTTTTATCTACATGTAGATCCTTTCCATAGACAATGTAACAATTGTATTACATGACAGTTGGTAATCTTGATTAAGTTTCGGATCAAGTATGCGAACATGAAAAAGACTAAGATAGACAACCTGAAGATGTTCAAATTACAAAACAATGTGTTCGAGATGAGTTGGGATTAAATTCATACTAGTGAATTTTACTTTTGTTTGCCCTTCGCGAACAAAATCTTCTTAGCGTCTCTGAAGTAGAGCATAATGATGATTGCGTAATTAGAAATTTTATTAGTTAGTCCGCTTGAGGCGTCAAATCAAAAATAATTTTAAATTGATACTTTGATGGGTTAAACTCTATATTAAAAATAACACTTAATACGTTTAATTGAATTATTAGAACTTATAGCCCTAAGAACTCTGATTATTGTTTTCGTTGTCTAAGTAGATCGTCAAGCTCCAATCAACGTCCATCTCTTTCGTCATTGATTGACTCGAATCTATTTTTCCGGTACGGATCGTCGTAATTAATTATTCTAATTAAAAATATTAATTGAGTTTCTCCGAAATGTACTCTCGGTGAACAAAAAAAAATGTATGAAACGTAAATTGCATTTTTTCTTACTGTCTCGTTTCGCTTAATTGATTACGATCGTGTACTTCATTATAACGATTTATTAAACAATTAGATAATTATTCGTATTCAGTTAGAAAGAGATAAAAAAATTGATCAACACGTGAGTTTATTAATTTATGATTAATCAATTATTCAAACAATATTAATTTCACGTTGAAAATGTGAAATTTTTTTTTTCACAAAACGAACCGAATACTACAAAAATGTTTGTGCCACATTTTCTCATAATCTGGATCGTGTAAGTTGCGTCACGCAACAATAGCGCCTACGTTACATTAGTAAATATCATTTTACAAATCTTGTTTTATAATTTAAGAGTATATTGTAGAGAGGGGGGTGGCGAGTTATTATTATTATCACCATCAAAAATGTTCATTTTAACGTAAAAAGCATTTTCATCCACATAGATACAACGTTAATGTCACGTGGAAAGTTTGAGCCAAAAGCAAACAAAATTTGCAAAGTAGAACTTGATTATTATTATTATTTTTGTACGATGACGCAACACCTGAAGGAAATTCAATAGATCTGTCAGTAAAGCGAGCGTAACTTATTCTTTTTTACTTTCCCAGCGTTATTCGAGACACGCGTTACACGATGCAGTAGTTAAATAACATTTTATGGACTCTTTTTTTTTTTCAAGTTCTCAAAGCTCCATTATAATCAAAGCTGAATTTGTGCAACTGACGCTTAGCTTTTACATAATATTTTTACAAAGTCCTCGTGTCACTGACAAGTGCAGGGATTTTGGTGCTCGTATCACTTACAGATAGTAAAAAGTCGATTGTACAATTAACGAGACTTTATTGAAGTTTAAGGTGAAAAAAAAGAGAAATTAAGATAAAAACGAAACGAATGTTTGTTGCGATACATGAATTTCGTATTAAATCATATCCATGAAGTTTCTTGACCTTTTTCTTCACTTTTGCCTCGAGACATCCTCGTGAAAAATGGACGCATCGAATTCCCAAAGTTTTTCCTGGTAACTAGCCAAGTTTTTGAGGGAATTACTTTTTTCCCCTGTAAGATCTTTTTTTCTTTGCTTCTTCAGGTCCAGCGACCTACGAGACGCCCCGGTAAGACCAGTGCCATCTCGAGTGCAAAAATAATGACTGATTACAATCACGTCTCGTTGTCTCATTTTTACAAAGTTCCTGTATCAAAAGTGCTTTTTTGTTTTATTCGAAATTTTTCATTTTAATAATTAATAATCATCCGTCAATGCTATTTTATACCCCTTTCGGTCGCGAATGAAAATTTAAATTTTGATTGAAAAAAAATTTTTTTTTTTCCTATTTCCATCTCGCGACTAAGGAAGACATTCGCCAATACCCAAAGTAACCAATTTGCGCTGAGAAGGACACCCCTTATATAGACAAGGGTAGAACCCAACTGGATCAGCGTTGCTCAGGCATCAATGACGATGATCCTCGGGTTACGAAATGAGGTCTCGGGTGCACGATACGAAATAAGGTCAAACTCAAAATCCTCGATTCTATTGATTATTTCTAATGGCAACCGGTAACCCACCTGATGCCGTTACGCGAATTTATAGTCCCGGCACTCTTACGTAAATAGCCATTATTATTTTCTTTGGTACCCGGTGCGTTGGGAACCCCTGCCCTCTCTTGATCTCATCCCTCTGACGTCCGCTATACCTATACCACCCGCTCAACTACCCACCTACCGACCTAACCTGACAACTTCACGCCTGGCCACTCGCAGACTTTTTTTTTCGTAACGAGCTTGTTCGTTCCAGCAAAAGGGCATGAGTCCTTAAGAACTTCGAATATTCGAACGAACCACTTCGGACCATTCTATCTGCCAGGAACTCTGGATACTCTTGGTTTTTTTTTTTTTTTTTTTTTTTTTTTTTTTTTTTTTTTTTTTTTTTTTTTTTTTTTTTTTTTTTTTTTTTTTTTTTTTTTTTTTTTT